CTTCTTCTTCTTCTTCTTCTTCTTCTTCTTCTTCTTCTTCTTCTTCTTCTTCTTCTTCTTCTTCTTCTTCTTCTTCTTCTTCTTCTCCTTCTTCTCCTTCTTCTCCTTCTTCCCATTCTCCTTCTCCTTCTCCTTTTTGTTTTTTTAGACAGATTTTCTCTGTGTGGCCTTGCCTGTCCTGGAACTTGATCTGTAGATAAGACTGGCCTCAAATTCACAGTGAACCACCTGCCTCTCCCACCCAAGTGCTGGGATTAAAGGTGTATGCCAACCCTGCCCTACTGATTTTGTGGCTTTTCTTGTGGTATCTTTGTCCCCTCTGGCTCCTAGAATTCTTTCTCCCCATCTTCTGCAGGATTCCCCAAGTTCCACCTAATGTTTGACTGTGGTTCTGAAATACTTTCCTTTATAGGTTGCTTTGGTCACAGTGCTTTTGTCATGGCAATAGACGAGTAACTAAGACATCCTGCTACATCAATTAGTAATTAAGAAAATTTGTCATTAAGAAAAAGATCTCAAAGACACACTTACAGGCCACCCTGATCGAGGCAACTCTTCAGCTGAGGACCTCTAATAAGTTACTTCTGTCAATTACGGCTTAGGTTTCTTATCTGGAATATGGGCACAGTCATTAGAAATTATGAAGAATTTTAGAGTGCTCTGTCTTGATGTTTTATCAGGGGATCAGGAATTCGAGACTCGTGTTGTACCCTAACCAGAGCTGCTTCTCAGAAGACTCCGAAGGACGGGACCTCTGGAAGGAATGAGGGTAGGTAAATCACTCATCACTTTATTGTAGAGGTCTAGGGTGTGTGACCAGCTCAGGAGGTTCTCATGTCCCCAGAAGGTAATTATAACTAAATAGATTCAAACCCACATTAACTGGCACATGGCAGGATCTGCTTGCAGAGGCATAGAGATGTGGAGAGAAGACCCTTGCTCTGAGTCCAGGATGAGCCAACGGAGACTGGGGTCCCCTTGGTCGCCAGCAGAAGAGAAAAACAGCAAGGTGCCAGGGCTTCCACTAAGAGAGTCCTTGAGGAAGCAAGAGGAGGGATTTCCAGCGTCTCTACTGAGCCTGTCTCTTCAGCTTGGGAGGAAGGGAGTCATAAGAGAGCCATGCTTATATGCACACACTTTAAAAGCTGGTTTATTTGGCAAACATTTAGGTTTACAGAACACCCCCCCCCCCCGCCCATCACTCTACCTTAGCCTCAGGTTTACTCTGTTACTAGCTTTCTAGATTAGTGGGGTGCATTTTTTAGCATTGATGAGCCACTGTTGATCTGTTATTGCTTGCTGGAATCCATACTGTTAATATTTGTATTAGCTACTTTTCTCATCTCTGTCACCGAGAATACTGAGAGAACTCAGTATTGTCCAGGGATTGATGCCCAGAGTATCTCTATTTCCTTATGGTAAAGAAAGTAAGTGTTCACTCTTGCTGTTATTAATTTCATGGGTCTTGGCAAGTGTTAATGACAGACATTCATCCATTATCCTCAAATCTCTGTTACTCCCCTGCCCAAGTTTCCGATCACCCTCTAACCGGGACAGCTCATACCATTGTACATGCCCTATGCCAATGAACTCATGGACCATGCTCACTGTCTGAGATCTGACCATCACTTTTGAATACCCCTGGGTAGGAGCAAAGACTGAGGCCAGAAGATTTATCTCCTGCCCTTTTGTACTCTCGACCACATGAGGAATAACAATATCTAACCACAGGGTTGGGATAGAGGTGGAATATATTAAAACTGAGTTCCAAGTCTGTACATGTTAATTATTTTCCATCCTCTAATTTTGTTTTTTTTTTGATAAGTCCATAGGAAGTAAGTTAGTATATATTTTAAATACAAAGGGTTTGTTAAGCAAATCTAGGGGCTGCATGGCAGTGCTTGATTTAAAGAATAAATTTTTAAGGAAAAAATAAGAGCAATTGGCTATTGCTCTGTGTGAAGTAATGTTCCATTTCAACGGGCGGTTCCCTAGGCTTCATCATGACCAATGCTCCCCTGAGTCCACTAACACTATCACTCATTTCTTACTGGATCCACTCCGAATCTGTCTGCTGTAGCATCCTGATACCTGAGTCACGGTTGCTAACTCCCACTGTCTCCTGAGTGTTCTACTATGTTGCTTTGTCCTTTTTTTTTTTTTATCAGATTTGAAAGCATCAGACTGGCTATTTGCAGACGGAGGGAATTTGTTTTCCAAGTACATGGTGGATGAGAACATAAAATGGTACAGCTATGGTGGAAAACACTAGCTTGGCTTCTCAACAAGCTAGGGCTAAAATGATCCTATGATACAGCTTCCACTTCTGGGCATAAAGCAGCAGCTTGGATATGGGTACCCTCCAGGTTCATAATGACAGTTGTGGCAGTATTTTCCACCATAGCTGTACCATTTTATGGTCTCACCCACCATGTACTTGTAAAACAAATTCCCTCAGTCTGCAAGTATCCAGTTTGAAGCCTGGCGACCAAATGGATGGTGGCACTAGGGACTTGGTAGAAGGGCAAGGGTGGGGACTGTTGGGACTAATTGAGTCCTGTCCTTCAGCTGCTCTTCCCTGCTAGAGCCTTTTAATTGAAGTTACTAGAAGCTGTGTCTAGCCTAGAGGATCAGAGGATGGGATTTTCACCTGTTGGCCATTGACTGCAGAGTATTTAAGTCTCCATGGTGCTATTAAAGAAGGGTTTTTGTACCAGCGATTGGAGGTCCGTGTGTTGGTCTGTCTCTGCCCGTGTTTCCTCAACCTCCAGCCTTTTGCCCAAAGCTCATGAACTGGATTCTAGCGCATAGAGCACAGACCGGGGCGCGGGGGGGGGGGGGGCCCCCCCGCAGTGCGCAGCAGGGAACTGTTTACTTACTCGCTTATTGTTTAGATTCAACAATTTATCTTTGTAAGAAGCATTTGTTTGTCTTGTGCATCAAGAGTTTGCATCTGGGGCTGCTTCTAGCAGATCATCTGATGCAACTTCTCTTTGAGGTGACATCAAGGGGCCATACGATAACAAACTAAGATCCATCAAGAAACAAGTGCATCATCAGGGTGGGCATGATGGAGAGGGCTTTGAAATAGTGTGATACACGCCCCCCCTTTTCTGCAGAATCAGCGTATGGTGAGCGTTTTAAAGGGACAGCTGGGTCTTTGGGATGTGGAGATGAACCAAGCCGAGCTACAAAGAGCCCAAGTCTAGCAACAGTCCATTGTACATAAAAATATAGCTAAATGCCTTTCATGTGCAAGGAACTTTCTATTCATCTTTTACTAACACATATGGAAGTAGGCTTTATGAAGAAAGATCCTGCTTGGGTAACCACACCCACATGGTCTCAGTGCTCAGAACAGTCACCCACTCTCACCACTAAGAATGCAGACTAGAAAGGGAGCAAGAGTTATCAACTCTGAAGGGGACAACTAGAGTCACCTGTCCTCCTGGGTGTCATCTGGGTGACAGATTAATATACAAAAGTGCATGTGCAGTTGATGATAATTCAGAAGCACAGGTAAACACTGTGTGATATATATGTTCATGTCTTTCCAAAATACCCAGAAAACTTTGAATTCTTAGAACGAACATTGATTTATCATAAGAGTCTGACCATTTTTGCAATAATATTTGTACTGTTTTCATTTTGGACTATAGTAATTATACAGAATCTTGGGTTTCATTGTGACATTTTAATTTAGCTTGGTCATAGTCACCCTCTATTACCATCTCTTGCTCCCTTCCTCATCCCTTTCTTCTTCCTTAAAAAATTTGTTTGCTTATTATGCTTTTAAATCTGTTTGTTTTATGTGCATGAGTGTTTGCCTGGGTGCATGCATGTATGCATGTGTGTCACACATGTGTCTGGAGGCCAGAAAAAGGTTCTGTATTCCTTAGAGCTGTAGTTCAGGAGTTGGTGAGTCACCATGTGGGTGCTGGGAACTGAACTCAGATCCTCTGCAAGAGCAAAAGGTTCTCTTAAGCATTGAGATTATTGGTTTGGGAAAATCATTGCAGGGGGCAGGACTCAAAAGGAAGGGGACAGAAGGAGGTAAGGAGAAAATGCCAGTAGAAACACATACTGCTGAAGGTCCTGTTCTGGGAAACCAGGTCTTGATCCTGCCCAAGATCTTGGGAGATACTTGAGAAGTTAAAGAGAGGAAAAAGAAGGGACATAATTTTGTTATAGTCTCAAAAGTATAAAAATTATCAGCATGTGGAAAAGGACTCTAAACCTTATGTACCCGAGAGTGAATCTATTGATGTGATGTCAGCAATCCTCAGTTCTGTCTGAATGGCTGAGTTTGTTTCTGGAGTATCATTTTCCTGGTATCTTGGGAGGGAGGTGCGTTCTCAATGGACCAGGCTGCTGATGCTGTCTGATGGCAATGATGTAGCCTTGGCTCTGACACACTGTGGGCAGCTAACTGTCCAATGTCTTCACGACAGCACTCCACACAGCTCTCACTGCAGAGCAGTAAAAATGACCAGTCATCATTCTGCCTTCTTTCAGCTGCTAGCCAGGTAAACCATGGAGAGGGAAAAAAAGCTTCTTTTCCACAGACCTAGAATTGTTCAAGTTTATATTCTACCTCTTCTTTAGACAATCCTGTTGATGAAAAAAATAGAAAATTTATAGCTGAACAGACGTGGGTCAGATGCCTACCAAAGTGAAAGGGACTGGAGCCTAGAGATGGATGATTGCCCAACGCACACACCAACAGGAAAACGGTGCCGTTGGGAGAAACAATCTCCAAGGGGAACTACAGGTGTGTGTCCATGAGTGTGACGTGCCACAGAGACATGGTGCAACACCAGAGAGTTTGAAGTAATAGAGGACAGATGGTTGAACATACACAGAGTCAGAGGCATGACAAATACCGTGATTCATCCACGTTGGGAAATACGTGCGGGCACTTCTGTGGCTCACTGGACAATATTGTCAGTAAACAACAGGCCCACCTCTGAAGCGAGGCTGGGACCAGGGAATGGGAGGACACAGTGCATTCTGGGAGGTGCCACCCTGGGGAAGGAGTGGCAGTGAAAAAAGAAAAAGGCATGATGATGCCAAGAGGGAGAAAATGGGGGTACACTGCAGGGAGACAAAGAAAAGGGGAAACGATGTAGCTACATTTTAATTAAAGAAAGAAAGGAAGCAGATTAAACAAGCCATGGAGAGCAAGCCACGAAGCAGCATTTGTCCATGGCCTCTGCTTCAGTTTCGGCCTCCAGGTTCCTGCCCTGCTTGACTGTCCGCCTTGGCTTCCCTCAAGGATGGACTGTAATTAGGACATAGAAGTAAAAAAAAAAAAAAATCCTTCAGTTGGTTTTCACCAGTGTTCTGTCACAGCAATAGAAAGCAAACTAGGATTATCTTATTTTTTCCGAGTTTTCAACTGTAATCAGAAACCTATTTCCAGACTATGAAAGAACACACACCTTTCCTCCTTAAACTTATATAATGTCACTTTTGAATAGTATTTTGATATTTGATAATTTGAAAAATGTTAGTAAGGTTTTTTTTTTTTTTTTTGGAGTGGGTTTCCTAGTAGCTATGGAATCAGACCTGGAACTCCCTCTGTAGATCACAGAGATCCACTTGCCTTTGCCTCCCAAGTGCTGGGATTAAAGTCATATACTACTACCACACAGTTGAAGTGTTTTTTTCATATGTGAGGTGCGTACCTAATTTTTTCAAAATGTCTACCCAGTTGTCTCAGCACTGTAAAGTAAAGTAAAATAAAATAAAGGTTGACTACCAAGAGTGTTCTTAAAACACACTTACGGAGAAGTTAGTTTGGCCAGATAGAATTCTTGGCCCAAATTTTGGGTTAGAGTGTACTGCCCAGGCTTATTTCTTCTAGTTGGAATGACACTGACCTCTGGTTGGCCGGCTAAGCCCCAGGTGGCCATGCCAGGCTGGTATTGTGATGACAGGGTCTTAGCAAGGCAAGGCTATGTGGCCAGCTCAGCATCTGGATTCTGCCCCCTGGCCTGTGGATTGATTCCATGGTAGCTGTCCAAGTCCTTGCCCGTGGTTATTTCCACATGTTGAAACACCACCATCTGCTCCTAGCCCCAAATGACTATGATGCGTTTTCCTCTGGCCTCTAAAAATGCAAGGCATTCTTCTAAATGCTAGTTTCAAAGTTTGTTTTGCATTATTCTTATTCTAAATCCAGATGACCCTGGCGGTGTAGCGAAGGCACAAAGCAGACTGCTCACATTTCTCTTGGTGTTCTTTTTTTTTCTCTGTCTGGACTGCTGTTAGGGTGAAGAAATCAGAGACGTCAAATCTCCTTCTGCATTAAGCATATATCAAATGCCTACTGTGTGTTTTTGAATGCTTACTGGATGCTAGTTCTTGGAAAACCCTGTATAAGGTATAGTCCTGATCTTGAGCTGGAGCACATGACCTAAGAGGTGGGGTGGGGAGCTAGATAACAGCTCTTAAGGGAGAAGCGTGAACTACTGTAGAAAGCGTAGGAAATGAGAAGCCTGTGGTTTGGGATTTTTTAAGATGGTAATGAAGGTGGAGGAAAAGCTGTCTAGATAGTTCTTCACAATAACAGTAGGCACGGATGTGTCTTACCTTTACCAGCTCTACCTTCAGTGTACCACACCACAACAGTGTCCATACTAACCCTTTCTGCAGCTAAGAAAATTGGGGTTCAGAAAAACAAACGTGCCAGGGGCTGGTTTGTGACCCTGGTGCCCTCACTCTGCCACAGTCCCCCATCTCTGGGTGTTTTGCTTCCTTTTCCTAGAATTTGAAGGAAGATGCAGGCATGCCTGGCCTGCATTCTTTGGGGGTGTGATTTCTTTTCTCTGATGCTACAGAAGGCTATCCTCCAGGCACAGCGTGGGCACTGCCCTCTCGAACCATCAGCAGCTGTAGTCACCCAAAGGAGATCTGCTGCACACGACTGAACTCATTAACTCTCCGTCACAGAGGGGACCCCGGTCTCACAAGGTCCCTCCCCACACAGGGATTTATAGATCCTTAAGAGTTGCTAGAGTCTCCAAGAGTTTCTTCCTTTAACAGTGTTCCCTGTGCACTCTTTGGTAAGCGTCTACTCACCCACTCGTTGGTGAGAAATCTTAATGAACTCATTGTTTCACCAAGCTAGACTTGAATGGCATTGCTATTGTTGTCATTCTCTGCATGGCATTAGTGTTCTACCTGGGGTAAACAGATGCCTGTCGATCCCCCCAAGAAAAGACCGCACAAAACCTGCCCACTTCCAAGCAGATATAAGTCAGAAATTTCTCTCCCGTTCTTTCCCTCGCACATTCCTTGTCTGCACGTCTTTTTTTTCCCATTTCTCTTTCAAAAGGGGCATCAATGCTAGTAATAAAGTCGACTTTAGATGGCTGAACACATGTGACAGGATGGGAAATGGCAAATACCACCCCATCATGGATGATGATTATAATTTTCTCCACTACGCTAGGCTCACAAAGACCAGACAACAATAGCCAATAATAGCGGTACACTTTGGGAGGCTGTTATGAGCCTTTGGCTCTGGCAGGGACTTTAGATAGAAAATGTCATTGAGGCCTGTGACAAATCAACAAGGAGGGAGCCCCACCCTTGTTTATACATGAAACTCACAGGGAGACATCACGTTAGTGGGACGGGAGCCCAGCATGACACCGAAGGCTATTCTCTAGAAATCTAGGTTAGATGAGAAATAGGGGTACAAGCCTTATACTTCATGCCCTCTGTCCACCATGAGCCTCACTTCCTGATCACTAGCTTCTGCTGACTGTACGTTTTACATATTTCAGGACCCGCTTAGTTCCTCTGCTCCTGGCAGGGCTAGAAAATGGCCCTGAGGTTCATATGAGGGAATTTTGGTCCCTCCCAGGCCTGGTGAAAATCTCAGCTGATGTCCCTCTGATCGGCAGCATGCGTTCTAGTGTGTTCTACTTTGAAGCATGGATGTGCTAGCTTTGAGGGCCAAACTGAGAAAGAGTAAGGGTAAAGGAGGAACATGTGGGTTCTGTTGTCTCTTTCTGGCTGAGCCCAGCATTTCGGCTGCTGCTCGATGCTGCGCTGTGATTGTCATTAGCTAACATGCGAGACACATGGCTGTTCCCCACCCCACCCCCTATTTTGTTTGTCTTTTCTTGGAAAATGTGTGAGCTGCTTCCAAAGTGGTTTTCCAGGATTTGCCATCTGCTGAAGAAGGGGAAGTGGTGAAGGGCACTTGATGTGTTGGTGAGACATGTATGGACACAAGAAAGAGAAGTTGAAGAGGACCCAGCTTAGCACGGAGGGGATCTGATGCCAGGGTGTGGGATTGTGGGAACATGGAGGAGTAAGTTGAGTGAGATCATCTCTTACGGTTTTTCCCGAGACAGAATCATCACAGGCCCCCATCTCTAGTTTCTCTTTCCAATATCTCTGTGAGGGCTTTTTAGGGTGTGTGTGCCGGTGTCACTGTGACCCTCGGCCCAGGTGTTGGGAAGAGATCAGTGAGAAGAGCTTTTCCACCATCTCACAACTTCATCCACGTTCATTTCTGGCCCACGGCCCACACTTGCTCACTCAGTGTTCTGTTGGTTTAGGGGGCTAGAAGAAGGGCCAGTTTGCTAGTCTCAGAGCCATAGCCCAGGCATAGAAGGAACCTGGAACCCTCACCACCTCACCCAGAAAAGAATACCAGAGACTGAGGTCAAGAAGCAGTATGAGTCCTGCTGTGTTTCAGTGCCAACCGGCTAGGAAACCTTCCTATGTGATCCCCTAGGAGGAAGGATCCCTTGAGTTCAGCCACAGGCACCAGCTCTATCTCCGTGTCTCTCTCTTCTGTGCCACTACTTACACAGTCTGGGTATCTCACATGTATTGGGGGAAAGGAAGGTTGACTTTTGTTGATATTAGCTCAGGCTTTACTTTCTTTGGTTTAAAATATTTTTGGGGGTTCAGTGACATTCATCTTATGTTGAATTTTGTGTGTGTGTGTGTGTGTCATTGTTGTGTAATGAATTACCCCAAACCTAGCACTGAACACTAAACCCAGTGCTCCCCAATCACATAATCCTGTAGGTTAGGAATCTGGGAGCCACCAGCTGGGATCCGCTGTCCGTGAGGCTCTCGGCTTGAACTGTGGCAGGCCCTCACTCCTGCTCTATCTACTTGGATCATCGGTGGACATGAACTGCAGAGCCTTACCCACGAGGTTACACATTTGAATAACACAAGCAAGGAGAAGTTCTTATTGACCTCAAGTGGTACAGCTGTGTTGTATGGTAATCCCCAAGATTATCAACAGGACAAGGGTGGGTGGTAGTCCATGTGAGAGATGTAGGTTTCCAACTCTTGCTTAATGAGTTAAACGTGGAACTGTCCAGGAGAATATTATTTAGAAATGGAAAGGAATGGCATACTGGCAATTGTTACAGCTCGGCTGAAACTTGGAAACATTACACTGAGAGAAATAAGTGAGTCACTGAAGACCACATACCGTATGATTCCATTTATATGAAATGCCCAGAATGGGCAAGTCATCCGTTGAGATGGAAAGCAAATTAGCGGTTTCCTACAGTTGGAGAGGCTGGGCATGGAGGGCGATAGCTTGAAGATATTGGGTTTCATTTTGAGGCAACGAAAAAGTGTTTTTTAAATTGATAGGCATGGCTGTCCAGTTCTGTGGATATAAAAATAATAAAACCACATTAAGTTGTACACCTTCAATAGGTGAATTGTGTGACATGTGAGTTATGCTTCAACAAAGATGTCAAGAAGCAGAAAACAGGCTGGAGATGTGACTCAGTTTGGAAGAGTGTTTGCTTAGCATGAGCCAAATCCTGAATTTGACTCTCAGCACAGTGTGAACCAGGTGTGGTGGGACTGCCCTGTGATGTCAGCTCGGGGCAGAAGTTCAAGGTCATCCTCTGTAACACAGGAGTTCGAGGTCCTGTCTCCTCCCCCACCACACACACACACACACACACACACACACACACACACACACACCCCAAACAAACAGCTCCAAAACACAAAGCACAAAATAGAAGCCAAGGAAGTTCTGATGACTAGGTTTTTGGACTAGGTTATCCCTTCTTATTGCTTATGTTCAGTTCCTTAAACCCCATCAAATCCTATTCTGGGCACCATTCTCTCCTTTTCTTTCTTTCTTTTTTTTGTCTCTTCTTTCCTATTTTCACTGGGATTTTTTTAAAAATCACATTTCTTGTCCTCTGTTTTTTTCCTATTCTTTTCTCTACTCCTGCTCTTTTGGGGATCCTGAGCTCTTGTTCTCAGCCACCTGTGTCCAGGTGTGACCGTGTCTGCTGATGCACTCTAGGCCTACTCTGCTCTCCCTTAACTTTGTCCTCACTTTGTATATACTTACACATCCTGGGATGCCCCAGCTCTCCCAGAGTCTGACTGTAGCCCAGTGCTTCACCTTCATCCCACACTCCAACTTGCCCATGAGAAAGCCCACTTTCACCCTGAGCCCTGACATAAACATACAGTACTAGAAACTGAATCTGTGGCGGAATCCACAGGGGAAATGTCATGCAGCTTCCAATATCTCTCCCCTAGGAGAGTATCTGCAAAGTTCGAGGTACCACAAACCTCGGGGAAATATGCATGCACAATGCAGTGGTTCTTTTCCTCCTCTGCTTATTCACCTTCTGTGTACCGGCTGGTATATGTGTCTCATTGTGAATTTTCACAACAATTCTTCGAGGTGGTTATTATTAACATCATTTACCATGTAGAAGTCTGTGACCTCATGGGTGAAATGACATGACTATAGCACATAACTAGGGCACGGCAGGGTTGGGTGTATGGCGGAGCAGGGTGTCTGTCACTTGGTGACATTTGTCCCTCCCGAAACTCAAGTTGAAACAATTCCCAATGCAACAGAATTGGGAGGTGGGACCTAAGGCGAGGTCTTCAGGTTGTGTGGTCTCTTTTCTTAGGGACCACTTTTGTTGATTGGCAAAGCTCAAGTTCTTCTCTCTTGTATTCCTCTTACTCCCTCCCACTGTGGGATGGCAGTCAGACAGCCCTCATCAGACATGATCTCCTCCACCTTGGATTGTCCAGCTTTGAGATCTATAAGAAAGTAACCCCTGCTCTTGATTCCATTATAGCTGCATGGCATAGACCAAGACAATCCCCGCTGTGTTTGGAGAAAACTGAGATAAAAATGGGACCAGGATGCTTTCCTGACCAGAGAGTTTTGATAGCATCTGTTTGCTCATGAGATAGAATGTACAGTCTGACCAAGCCTCTGTTCTTCCCCAAGTTCTTACTGGCTTCTCTCCGTTCTGTTTCTTAAGAGGACCACACTTGCTTTGCTTTCTCTCACATCTGGACCTTCACCTGAACTCCACTCTTTGCTGAGAATGTTCTCTGTTGCACATCTGTCTTGGCCAATCTTAGGTTTTTAACCTTAGCCATTTTCACGTGAGGAGGCTGTGTTAGGTCTGTGTGTGCTTCCTTTGTCTTACTAATTGTGCTATACTCATTTCCCCACTAGGCTGCAAACTTTTGCAAAGATGTGAAACTTGTTTGCTTTGCCAGTATACTATGGAATGACACTCAATACAAAAGATGCTCTTTGAATACAGGAATTGATTGTGGCTAGCTATGGTTACATGGCGTCATATTATGGATCATGACTGGCATAACTTAATATGACATTCAATATTACTAAAAGATTCATGTTTCTTTGTGCGCGAGCTCTGTGTGCACATGTAGTGGCCAGAAGAAGATGCTGGGTATCCTGCTCTATCACTGTTTGCCTTATTCCTTTGAGATAGGGTCTCTCCATGAATCTCTTGCTAGGCTGACAGCCAACAAACCCCCAGAAATCCTACCTTCTCTACCTCCACAGTTTTGGATTATAGGTGTAGGTATAGGCGCATCAGGGTTTTTATATGGGTGCAAGGATCCATACTCAGGCCACGTGCTACCATACACTGAGCCCTCTCTCTAGACTCCAAAGATGAGCTTTCTTCATTGTGGTTTGGTTTTCCTCATGGTTTTATTGTAGATTTGTGATGACAATGGTCTTAGTGTTTTTTATTGCTGTGAAGAGACACCATGACCATGGCAACTCCTATAAAGTGAACATCCAATTGTGGCGGCTTGCTTACAGTTTCAGAGGCTCAATCCATTATTATTATGGCATGGAGCATGGCTGATGTGGTGCTGGACCTGAAAGGGCTGCATTTTGTGGCAAAAATAAGTCGAGTGACAGTCACAGTGAGGAAAGTTTGAGCAAAAGAGACCCTAAAGCCCATTCCCATAGTGACACATTTCTCCCCACAAGGCTACACCTCCCAACAGTGCCCTTCCCTTGGAGGTCATTTTCTTTCGAACCAACATGACAATGTTGTTTTGTCATATTAAGAGTGCTAAGAAGAGTACATGAAGGTAGGAGGAGACAATGTGGTGAGGGGTCTGGGTGCTGGAGGAGAAATGAACAAGGTATATTGCATACATGTATGAAACTGTCAAGGAATAAATAAAAATATTCTCATTTTCATAAATGCTGGTGCATTATTGCTCTCATTTCAGATGTGAATACTGGAAAAATCTTTCCAGTGAGACAGAATTAGGCTCCAGTCCTGGCCTCTCTCCTCCTTGTGTTGGCTGACTCATCTCTTGGAGCCTCAGATCTTTTATTAGGAGAACGGGAATCATATGACCTGCCACACAGGTTTAATGGGAGTGCCGAATGAAAGACTTCATGAAAGGTTCTTAGCACAGGGACCGGCACACTATGTTAGTTATTATGAATGTTATCCAAAGAATAATAAAAGCTACCTTGCCTGCCAATTAGATGGATGACAGATGACAGTTGCATTTATCATCATCATCATTATTATTGTTATTATTATTATAAAGGAGTGCTGGGGTTTTATTGTAATCACTCTGAGACAGATTGGCAGGAAGCTATTCTCTGGGGATTTGGGGAAGCATATCCAGTTCTGGGAAGCACACCGGCCTCTGAGTTTCCTGGAGGTGTGAGTGATTCTTCCTGAACTAGGCCCAGGGAGAGCATACAGGAAGAACGTCATGCCCAGTACAGCACCTTCTGTCAGTGGCGCCTCATGCAGAGTGCAACCCATCATTGGTAGAAGTCATGGGCTTGGAATTTTTTCTCCCATCCACCTGAAGGATGAAAAAACAGCCAGGGCAGGCAGCATTGGGAATTGCAGAGTGGAGTAGTAAGTGCTGAAGGCCGTTTTGTACTTGCAGAAGGGTGTTGTGAAGCTCCATTGAGACCTCCAGGCCGGATCTTGGTAACAACCTCTGAAACTTCTTCCTCTGAAGGCATGCAGATGATGGCCTGAGGCTTATAGGGCTTGCTTTATCAATAAGACACCCCTTTTTCCTCATCTTCAAAGGCTGGCCTTTAGGGGTATAACCACTTCTGTGTTCCAGGGAAGAGCCAGGAGCTGGACTAGGCCCAGAATCTCAGGGATTCAGATACTTGGTGCAAGGGATCCAATTGATTCTCTGACTGTTGACCTCCGGATTCTGACTGTGGCCACTAGTACTCCTTCTGTGAGTAGGCCTGAGACCCTGAATACTTGAAGAGTGTGAGAAGAAATGTTCACAGTTTAGAGAGTCCGGGAGTCTGGGGCAAGCTGAGCTGGAATTTTGCTATGCCCCTTATATCTGTGTAGCCTGGTCAAGTTAAAGCATGTCTCTGTACAGAGTCTGAGCATCCTCAGCTCCAAACAATCTTCCCTTCATGTAAATCTTGATATGTACTTGGATATACTTCTATCCTTTTTTCATTCTTCTATTTCCATTTCTTGCCATCTTCTGAATCATTTGCATACTTTTCTTTATTGCTCAGGACCTTGTACTCTATTACGGAGGCAAACACTCTACTACTGAGAGGCCTAGCCTTGTATTATATTTGTTTGTTTGTTTGTTTAATTTTCTGGACTGAATTATGTCACTTACATTCATATGCTGGAACGTTAGCCTATAGCCTGATATTTGGAGAGGACCCCTTTGGGATGCACTTTGGTTTAGATGAAGTTGATTGTAGGGCCAGCATGATGGGAACAGGGCCTTTGTAAGACAAGGCATGGGCGCTGGTGAGAGATATCACTCCCTCTGCGTCAGCCTTGTGAAGGCACACGACGAAGGCAGTCACATGAAAATCCTTACCAACCCTCTTTGCTCCTTCGTCTTGGATGTTTGCTCCCCAGAACTCTGCAAAATGCCCCCCCATTTGTGGTATTTTAATCCGCTTGAGAAGACCAAATAATATTGTCTCTGTTTTCTGCACTTAGCGGTTACTCTAGAACTGCAATTTTTACCCCTAACATTTTATACTCTATGTAGGACCAGCATTAGGCCATTTCGTGTATGCATCTTGAAGATCTTTATTTTCTTTCCCCTTTTACATTGTGTGGTCAAATATATTTCATGTACAAACTGAGAAAATTTCAGCTGCCCAGATTAATCAGTTTTGCTTGTGCTATCATATACAGCACTCCTTTAAAAGTTTAAGGAGAGATAAGAGTAATTAGCCATTTCCCCTGGCTGTTTCCAGGACAATTTATTTCTTTGTATTAGCTGTTTTTAATACATCTAGTCAAGAAAATAGCACCTTCACACAAAAGGAACATTAGAAGGACTCCACCTTGTGAGTGCAAGTTAGACAAAGTTGCATGAAAGATGCACAATTTAATTGAACGTATCAACTATTTTCTAAGAACTGCATACTCCTGCTAAGCTGAAAGAATGTAGTTTCATCAGTTCTCAGAGTTTGAACCGCATTTCTCAGTGTACCCCTAAGTAAAGTTCTATGGAGAAAAACATTTGTGCATGGGGGAACTGAGTAGTTAGAGTGGGTGGGGAAGCTTCAGGCTTTTGGTAAGGGAAGAATTTGGTAATGGCTCATGAGAATTTCGGCTGTTGT